AATAAATTTCATATATAAATAAAAATAAATAAATAAATAAATTATATAAATATACATAAATTATATAAATATATAAATATTTAAAACACAAAAGAGCATATATTATATGACTTCATTTTTATAGTCATTTCCATGTATCCATATACAGACATAGAAACAAATCTGAAATGGTGTTTATCTAAAGTTAGTGACAATTACTTCTAGGTATTGGGATTTGAAGGTGGTATTTTAGAATTCATACTTTTCTGCATTGATTAAATTCTATAATGAACATTATTTTACAAACAGTAGTGTGATTTTTATTTTTAAAAAAGACCAGTGGAGAGGACCTAAACTTCTCTTGCATATTTCAAAGGCATCTGAGATTCAAATGACCTATGGTCTTTCCTCTACCAAAACACACTGCCTACTCATGTTCTGCATCTTGGTGATTGGTAGCCTGGAATGATAGCCAGTAATGCCAGCCAGAAACCTAGTCTTGATACCTTCCCTCTGCCATACATCCATTCCATCACTAAATCTCATCCATTTTATCTCTTAAACATTTCTTGGAATCTGTTCATTTTTCTTCATCTCAATTTCTCTTTAACTGTACTACTGTGACTAACTCTTAATTGGTCTATCAATTTCTACCCTTACCTCCAATAATCCTTTCTTCTGGCTTCAAGTCAGAGTGATCTTTTCAAAAAGCAAATCTGATGTGAACCCTAGGGCTTCAATGGCTATCCATCTTTCTTAAAATAAAGACAAAGGTCTTTATCATCACCACTTTTAAGACCCTCCCAACCTCCTTAGATTCACTGTGCACCAATTCTTGTCTGCTCTCTTCACTTCAGCAAAATTGGCCTACTTTCAGTGGCCTCATGATCCCTTTACCAATACAGGGCTTTTGCATATGCTGTTCTTTCCACTTGGAATCAGATTACCTCCCTTTTTCACCCAGTTAACACCAACTCATCCTTCAGATCTCTGTTCAATCATCACCTTCTCAGGGAATCTTTCCTTGACTTCCCTTTACTAGACCAACTCTCTTATTTTATGATATCCTATATTATATAAGTCTGTTCATGTGTAACTGTCCCACTAGAGTGTAAGTTCCATGAGATAGGGCACATATTGTTTTTGCTCATCAAACCCAGTGCCTAGTAGAGGGCTTGGCACAAAGTAAAGGGCCTGACATAATTGTGACAAAATTTTCTAATAAGGCCACAGACCAGTAACAAGCAAGAACATTAGATAATGAGATGTGCTTTCCACACAAACATGTAATCAACTGAACTTAAAATACAAAAATAGTTATCTAGGCATCTTAGAGGTGTTACCTCATTTAATTCTCACAGTGATGTTGTAAGGCAGGTAGGTATTATCTCTGTTTTGAAGACATGAAAACTGAGGCACAGATGTCTTGCCTATAGTCATATAACTAGTAAGTGACTGAGCTGACACTGGAACCCAATTCTGTCTGCTTAGAGACCTCTACCACTTTTGTTCATACTGCCATTTTCTACTCACTCTCCCTCCAAAAATCCTCCATTATACTGCAATAAACCACCCTCCTACTAGTCAACAAAAGCCTCCATTCACACAGTACTCAGAGGCTCTCTCACTGGCAGCACAAATGCATTTATGCCTTGAAGTTTGCCTCTAAAGGCTTCCAATTTTTACAATGGTGATACTATCTGTATATAAATCGGTGCCAGGAGTAAGATAAGTACACAGAGTCCCCACGCAGAAATACTGCTTACTAGTTTGGGAAATCTAGGCTTTTGAAATTTTTATTCAACATTAACACTAAATGTATTTTCAGATTTTCTTTACCAAATTATATGCAATGACTACATACACACACATACATGTACACAAACACAACACACACACACACACACACATATACACAAATATACATCTTGCAATTATGAGGGTTCAGATTCTAAGCCTTAATTCACATTTTGATAGATTTACTCATTTTGAAAAAGTGATACTTTAAAAGTTCAAACAGAGAAGTAAAATGTAAAATGAGGCTCAAATTCCACCATCCAGTATATTGTTAACGGCTTCTCCTAGTTCTGTGTATATATATAAATATCTAATGCACATAATTTTAAACAAATACTGTATATACTGTTCTATAAGCCTGCCTTCTTCCCACTCCAGAATGCATTGTGGACATCCTTCTATATCTCAACTGCATGTACATCTGACTAAGGCCATATGCAATTACTAGGAATCTCATCCATAAACTTAAGACGCCTTTTATAATATTCTAGCTTAAAGAGCTTTAAAATTATTTTTTTCAAACTGAACAAATAAGATCACTTAATAGTTCTGAGAATATTGATATACAACATATGATAGCTTTCCCTCAAAACTCAAACTCTTCTTGTACCACAGGACTGAATTCACCCTCATTCCAGATGCTTTCTTTTTTGATACTTGATGGTTATATTTTTAGGTATAAAAGTCTAAAGCATGGGTCAGCAAGCTACAGCCTACCACTTCTTTTTGTAAATCAAGTTTTATTGGAACAAAGCCCTGTGCATTCATTTATATTTTATCTATGGTTGCTTTTGCCCGATGACAGAGTTGACTAGTTGCAACCACATGGCTTGAAAGTACTTACTAACTGGCTCCTTCCCAGAAAAAAAATGTGCTGACCCCTGGTCTAAAAGATAATTTTCTCAAAGACAAAATGAATCTAGACAAGGATAAAAGTCGCTATGTTGTCAAGTCACACCATTCTCTAATAGTGACTTTAAAAATAGACCTAAGGCTGGGGCGCCTGGGTGGCGCAGTCGGTTAAGCGTCCGACTTCAGCCAGGTCACGATCTCGAGGTCCGGGAGTTCGAGCCCCGCGTCAGGCTCTGGGTTGATGGCTCAGAGCCTGGAGCCTGTTTCCGATTCTGTGTCTCCCTCTCTCTCTGCCCCTCCCCCGTTCATGCTCTGTCTCTCTCTGTCCCAAAAATAAATAAACGTTGAAAAAAAAATTAAAAAAAAAAAATAGACCTAAGGAAATCAATTTTTATGATTTTAGTTCTTAAAGAGGAACGTGCCAAAACCACTTACTTCATATACTTTGTTCCAGTTTTCTGTCTCTAGTTTGTGTTGACTCTGTTTGAGTTGGTTTAAACTTGGCTTAATAAGAGAATTTCCAACTGTTTCCTTTGTCCAGTCATCCACCAGTTTATGTAAGTCATCTGTGAACATGCCTTTTTTACTAGCTGGAGATTGCTGGCATGATGCTACATTACTCTCCACACAGAGCGGATCTAGAAGAAATAACAGGAAAACCATAAAAAATAATTAAAACTGATAAATACTTTTCTTTGAGTAATAATGCAGTTGGTAGAACCTCACATATGGGCTACAGATAAGGTAACCAGACATTCAAGTTTATCTGGGACAGTCCTGGAGTAATTATTAACAGTATGTATGCCTTTCACTCTCGAAAGTTTCCTCTTGTTGGATGGGAAATTATATGGTCACCTTGGTATAAAGTCAAATAAGCTACAAGTTATAAGTCAAATATAAAAACATTAGTATCAATTATAATCTTTACATCAGTTTTCCTCGGATAGATACTTAAAAGAGATAAAAAATAAACATGGAGGAGAGAGGCTTGAAGATGGCGGCGTAGGAGGACGCTGGGCTCACTGTGTCCTACTGATCACTTAGATTCCACCTACACCTGCCTAAATAACCCAGAAAACCGCCAGAAGACTAGCAGAACGGACTCTCTGCAGCCAAGTGTAGACAAGAGGCCCATGGAAGAGGACGGGTCTGCCTCCCTCCCGGTGCTGCAGGGCCCCTGCCGTAGCGGACCACCAAAGGCAAAGCGAGCTGAGCCTGCCACTCCTGCCCCTGTGCACCTTGTGGATCCACCCTGGCTAATACACCAGATCCCATCGAAGCAGCACCACAAGCCTGGCAATGTACCAGTAGCCCAGACAGGGGCCACACCACTCCACAGGGAGTCCTGCCCCTGGGAGAGGGGAAGATAAGCTACACACCAGTCTGACTGTGGCCCCAGTGGTGGGCTGGGGGCAGACA